TCGCCGTGCGGGTGAGCAGCACCAAGGAGGCGGCGGCCGAGGCCAAGAAGAGCGTCTGCCGCCGCCTGGACTACATCACGCAGAGCCTCCAGCAGCAGGGTCTGCAGGTGAGAGCTCTGCGCGGAAGGAGGGGTCGGAACCCGGGTCGCAGACAACAGATGGCAGAGCGTCTGGTCCCGATGGCGGCTGGAGCGGGGGGTGGAGGGGCTTGAGCATCGGAGGCGTCTTTGTAGCAACGGGATCACAGGCGCCAGGACCTGGCAGCGTGAATCCTCAGCCCATCCTTCTTGAGGAAGGTGATTACTGGCTGCGGTGACTTCCAAAATGAGAGAATGCAAATTGAGTAGGGTTTTTTTTATATGGCGATATTTGCTGCCGTAGTTTGGTTTTTACCCTTGTAATGATGAGCTGTCAAACTTGAAACATGAGATACCAGTGCTTGCCTAAGAAGTGTGCTGTACCCGAATCGTTTTTTGTTCTGATGCGGCACCTTGGAATTGGCAAGTGGAAAGCATGACCTGCTTCCTCCTCCCAGCCACGGAAAGCTTCGCATGGAAAGGTCCTTCAGTATTTTGGGCAAACAGTAATGGGGGTAGGGTGAGGGGGTCCTCGAAGACTCAAAGGTTTTCTCCACATTTTTCAGTTTTAAAAAATTAAGCTGTTATATTGTAGATGCCGTCTATATAAAATACCCCTACTTACCAGGTGTCTATGAAATCACTAAATAAATCTAACCTTAAGCCTACTTTTAAAAACAGAATAAAAAAATGAAGCAGCCTTGTTTAATCCATACAACAGCCTTGTTAGGCAGGTTTTAATATCTTCATTTTCCAGATTTAAAGAGGTTAAGTAATAAGTAATGTTCTGAACGTCAGCCAAGGCGATATTTGAACTCCTGTATTCCTGAAACCAAAACACAGCTTGCTTCCGACAATGCCAGGCTGCGGAGGATAATTAGAATGAAAGAAAATCAGAAACCATAGAATGAATGGGTCAACTCTCTCAATTCTTTCGTTTTACAGAATAGGACCCTAAAGGCCATAGTTGCGATTGACCCAAGGTAACACTGAGTTTATGAAAGTGCTTCCAGTTTATTGTTAGGAATGACACATCCGAAAAATCAAGTTTTTACTTTAAGGAGAAAACATACTTGTACTACATTTACAAACATAGAGTTATTTTTAAAATCAGTTGTAAAAGAATGTCTCTAAATGATTTTTCAGTTTAGAAGAATGCAAATGCCAATTAAAATAATGTGAATAAAATGAATTTAATGTATTTAATATGTAGAGAAATATTTTCCGAGAAAAACTGCTGCCAGCACTGCAGTCCTGTTTGAATAATACCTAATTCTTAAGTTACTTACATAAAATGTATACTGCTCCCACTGACTGTAACTTCTAATATGTAAAACAAAATAAATTACTATGTCCAGGTTACAGTTAAGATTATATTAAGATTCAGTGTTCAGGGCAAGACATACAAAGGTCAGTAATCTTCCAATTATCTCTGCTAATGGAGAAAAGCAGTCATGTAGGTAATTTGTTCAATAGGTAATGAAAAAAATCATTTATATTACTTTGCAGGACGAATTATAATGGGTCTTCACAAAGCCTTTATTTATTTTAAACTTTGGAATCTTGGGTTTATAAACATCACTCCCCTGTTTAAAGGGCTCCTCATATTCCAAACTCCTTTGCTTTATAGATAGAGCCTAACTCTATCATTTCCTGTCATCCTTCTCTCCTGGTTGACTACTAGCTGACTCCCATTTTTTTTTTCTTCGAAGACTAGCCCAAGTTCACCTCCTTGGCATTATTTTCCTAACAGTAGTCCCTGTCATGCCACACTCCACTCCCCACTTGTAATAAAACTTATCATTCTGTATTATATGTGTTGCTTTACTTGTCTTTCCTCCATATTCTAAACCTCTGTAGAGAAGAGATCATTTTGCCCCTTGTTTGCTTTGCATTCATGGGTTATGCTTCATATATATCACATAGTGCATACTCAGAAAATCGTTTCTGAATGAATAAAAGAAAAATATGAGAGAAGCATAAACAATGACTTCAACTATATTACAGATCATATATAGTTTCATGATCACATAGCTTCATGTCTGAAGGCATAAGCCTCATTTTTTAGGGTTTTCTTGGAAAATATTTTAAAGTTCTAAGCAGAACTCATTCAACCATCAGACATTTACTAGGCATTCCCTATCACTGTTCAATTTAAAACAGCACTTAGTGTAATGTGTAATTCTTTTGTTTTCTGGCTTGTATGTTCCTCTCACAGGCTGTAAGCTTCATAACTGTATTTTTTTTCTATAAACATGTAATGGATGCCTTAAACATGTTGCTAGGCACCAGAAATGGAGAATGAGTAAAATTTCGGTATTGTGCTGAAGGAGTCACACGATCGGAATAGACTAATACATAGTAGATGTTGTGATGAAAGTATGTACATGATACAATATAGTAGTGTAAGAAAAGAATGTTCATTTTACTTGAGGAATTCCAGAAAGCTTTCATAATGGAAATGACACGTGTCAGATCTTAAACAGTGGCTGGCAGGAAAGCATTCCAGTTTCACACTAGAGTGCAGCAAGTGTATGTGTTCAGAACACTATACACAGCTCCCTATGGCTAGGGCACAGGAGTGCTTAGGGAAAGTGGAGGGGAATCAAGCGATAAGACTGAAGAGGAAAGCTGTACACAGAACATGAAGGAAGGCCTTGTGTGCAATACTGAGGAGTTTGGATATTATTGATAATAAAAAACTTTTTACTATTGCTAGACCTTTTACAGATGTTATCTATGTGATACTCCCGTCATATGAGACTGGCAGTTTAGTTGCTGCTTTAGAGATGAGAACTCCCAGGATCACAGTAGTTATTGGCATTAGCTTGTTCAAGTCACACAGATAGGAAGTGGCAGCGTTTAGACTCCAGCCAAGAACTCTGACCACATGCTCTTAACCACTAGAGTATATTGCTGCTTTAATGTCTTGGTAGAAGATATGTTTATGTTATAAAAGAATATTTTGTTATATATTTTTAAATTTATTTATTGTCTAAAGTTTTACATATGTCTCCTTTTCCCTAATATAAAAGAATATTAAGTGACAGAAAAGTTTCATGTTAATCAAGTGAATAAAGCTGAACACAAGAAATACAGTACAGTTTCATTTTAAATTTATCTGCATTCTAAGTTTTCTACAGTCAGCAATTATCCTACCTAATAAAGAGGGAATATGCTAATTGACCCTCACACCATCACAAAAGATGGTGGCGCCCACAGCCAATAAGGAGGGAGTATGCCATTTGACTGCCCCGCCCTCAAAGATGGCAGCACCCACAGCCACAAGATGGTGGCGCCCAGTCCCCTCGGCCCCGCCAGGGCAGCAGGCACGTGGCAAGGCCGGCCCTGTCCCCAGGTGGGTCCGGCCACTCTGTGTGCCTGCCTCCGGAGTCCCCTAATCCCTTCAGCCCGCCAGCCACCTAGGGCCGACCCCGAGGCACAGGCAAGCCTCAGATGGTGGCTGTCCAGCCACCCAAGGCCTCCTGAGGCTCAGGTAACCAGGGCCCGGCTGAGGCTTGCGCTGCCGTCAGTGACAGCAGCAGAGGTGTGATGGGGGCGTCGCCTTCCCCTGATGGCCAGGTCGCCTCCCGCCCCTGAGGGCTCCTGGACTGTGAGAGGGGGCAGGTCGGGCTGAGGGACCCCCCCTCTAGTGCATGAATTTTCATGCACCAGGCCTCTAGTCTTTATCATAAAAATGCATAAATATTTTCATGAGAATGACAGGCATTAGAGCTATAATTGGAACTTTAGTTCACATTTTTGGGTTAAAGCTTTTTCTAATTTTTCTGGATAATATAAACTGATTGAACTTAGTTTATATCTTAAAATTCAGATGGAGGTAGGTCCCCTACAAAAGAACATATAATCAGGTCCCAGCCAAGTAGCTCAGGTTAGAGTGTCATCCCCATACACCAAGGTTTCTAATTTGATCCCTGGTCAGGGCACAAGAATCAACCAATGAATGCATAAATAAGTGGAACAACAAACCAATGTTTCTTTCTCTCTCTCTAAAATCAATAAAATTTAAAAAGAACATATAATTAAATTATTATTGAGCATAATAATCTTTATATTTATTTAGCATATATTTTGAAGGATACAAAAATTTTGTAAAACATAAGGTATGCCTGTCCCCAAAGATGAGAGTAGCTAAAGAGTTCATTTTACTAAATTTTAAAAACTATTTTGAACAGTAAATAAAAAATTTAACATTTTTATCAAAATTGTGTACCTGAAATTTATGCAGAGATTTATAAAGCATTAATATTTTCAAAAACTGGTCTGGGTCCAATATTTTAGAAAACTTTTATATTAAAATAGCATAGCATCTTTTATATTAAAATAGCATGGCATCTACATTTGCTTAGTATTTTCTCTGTGTCAAGTGCTATATATATAACTTGTCATTAAATCTTCAAAACAATTCTGTGTAATATATACTTAGTATTAACGTAATTTTATAAGTGCAGAAACTAAGACTCAAAAAAGTTCAGTAACTTGCCCAAAGTTGCATACTATAAATACTCAGTACATTTATATTAAATTATTTGTAAATTAAATATATATTTTTTAAATATTTTTTACTGATTTCAGGGAGAGGAAGAGAAAAGTAGAAACATCAATGATGAGAATCATTGATTGGCTGCCTCCTGCATGTCCCACACGGGGGAACGAGCCTGCAACCCAGGCATATGCCCTGACTGGGAATTAAACTGTGACCTCCTGGTTCATAGGTCAGTGCCCATCCACTGAACCACACTGGCCAGACTGTAAATTAAATATTTAAAAAACTCTAACATTCCTTTAGAGTAATTCCATTTAGTTGCCAGACATTTAGTAATCATACCCTTGTACTTTTTGTTTCAGGCAGAAAATGTAACGGTGACAAAGGATTTTAGAAGAGTGGAAAATGCTTATCACATGGAAGCAGAGGTATGTACTTACAAATAATTGAAAACAGCATGACTTTGTGTGAATAAGTTGCATTTATTTTTGTTCTTGAACTGAAATGTACAGGAGAAATGTTTCTCATGGTATTGATAAAAGGTTTTCTCAAAATCATTTTTGGTGTTACATATCTGTGAGCTTTTAAAATAAATGTAATGAGATATACTCAAGAGAAGTTGTTTTGAAATGCAATAAAAATAGCAAGGGGGAAGTAGCAGTTAATTACCACCTGAATAAAACTTTATAATATTACATAGTGAGCAGGAAACACTACAAGAGAGAAATTTCTTTTTAGATAAAAAGCAAATTAATAAAGTCATAACAAAGGATTGAAACACTTTTTTAACATTCTTTTGTTTCACAATGCAATTTTATTGTGTTGTGGAAAGAACAAAATATTTTTGTATACTCAATGATAACATTTATTTCCTACAACTGTGTATACTTTTTACTGATCTTTAAAGATTTTATGATCAGAATTTATGAATCAGAGTATGTTATAGTTGTGATTAGGTTACAAGACTGCTGTCTGTTTCTGATTAGGAACATCCTGGGGTATGTGCTTGGTGCATGCTTGCTGCCTTGCCACAGGAAACAAGAATGGGGTTAGAGTGGAATCTTACTTATCTAGTCAGAGAATCTTTGTCCATAGAGGTGGAAAATACTCAAGAAATAACCTAGCCATACCTTCAGGCAGATAATATTTTATTATCAGAAAGTAAATTATCATTTAATGTACAGAAAGTACATTAGAGCTACTTGTTTTATTATAAGGTGTGGCTAAATGAGAACTTGGCTAAACTCTGCTCATCTTCCTTCTGCTGTACTTACCTTTTTAATATCTTGTACTCAAATTTCTTAAGAGAGAATCTGATTATATTTTGTATAGGGCCCCCTGGTACACAGAACTCATATCACACAATTTAGTACATGTTTGCCCTTAAGTCAGCCTCAGCAGTCAGCAGAAACCAGGATGTTGGGCTCACAAGGTAAAGAACAATGTGTGGCTTTATGGATGTGGATGTCGTGAAAAGTAATATCTAATGTCTTACATATACCAAGATTCTCATGGACAGTTAAATATATACATTAAGATTAGATGGTAGAACATTACTTTTCATGTAATATCTGAAACTTTCATCCTGAAAGGCACTCTAAAGATTCTTTATCCTTCCACCTACCATGCTGCTGCTGCTTATCTATATACTAGAGGCCCAGTGCATGAAATTCATGCACAGGTAGGGTCCCTAGGCCAGCAATCAGGGCCGATCGGGGCCTTCCAGCTGCCAGCTGGGGCCTTCCTTCCCCGGCTGCCGGCTGCCAGCTGCCAGCTGGGCCTTCCTTCGTTCCATGCCACCCCTTGGTAGTCAGCGCACATCATAGTGAGCAATCAAACACTCGGTCTCCCAGTCAAACTCCCGAGGGGACACTTTGCATATTAGCCTTTTATATAGATAGATTATATAGATAGATATAAAAGCCTAAGCAACTGTTCAACTGGTAGCTATGATGCACACTGACCACCAGGCGGCAGACATTCAACACACAGGCATAGAAACATGGGATAAACTAATGAATCTTAGAGGGAAGTGGAAAGCGGGGAGGATGGGAAGAGATTAACCAAAGATCTTATGTGCATACTAGAGGCCTGGTGCACAGATTCGTGCATCAGTAGGGTCCCTTGGCCTGGCCTGCGGGGATCGGGCCGAAACCGGCAGTCCAACATCCCCTGAGGGGTCCCCGATTACGAGAGGGCACAGGCCAGGCCGAGGGACCCCACCGGTGCACGAATCCATGCACCAGGCCTCTATCTATAAAGATAAGAAGATGGAAAGTTAGAAATTATTTAAGTGACGTCTTTAAAGGTGGATGAATGGTGGTTTTGTGTAAGGAGGGGATTTGGATTAAAAACATTGGCTTTGTAGTTCATATATCTACATAATCTCAATGTTAGAAGGGATTTTAAAAGCCTGGGATATAAAAGACTGAGTAAATGTCTTTTGAATAGAAAAAGCAGTATAACCACTCAGACAGTTTTCCCCTCTCCTTTTCATTGCATGTTTCCCATTGTCAGGTGTTTTCCATACATTTTCTCATCTAATTTTTTTTAACTCTTAATTTTTATTGTGGAATACTTTATACATAGACAAGCATGAATATAAAAGGCCCATTCCATTTTCAGACATCTAATAAATACAACATTTTCTGACATTAAGCCAGAATTGACTTATTAGTACTCCTCTTTTATAAGTAGTATACCTCTCCAAGAACAAAGCAACGCTAATTCTTCTTCCTTGAAGCCCACACTTGCAGTTCAGTATCATATTGATGCTACTTTTTTCTTCTCTAGAGATGAGATCCCCAGTTTCTTTGGCCATTTCTTGTATGAGAAACTCCTTTAGTTAACCATTACAGCTAAAAAAAAAAGTGTCTTTCTCACATGCTGCTTTTAAGTCATGTTTCTCCTATCTTACACTTTGTTATTGCTGTTTTAAAATGAATTATAGGATTTTACACTTATCTCCGGATGATTTTATCCATAGATTATTTGATCTATATTTCCAGCCTATTGGGATCGTTTTTAAATCTCAATTTTATCAAGCCGTGTTTTTTTAGTACTGCCAGCTTTATCTCAACTGCTGACTTGATCATCAGTGTTCTATCTATGTAATTAATTAAAATATTGAGTAGCATTAATCAACTATGACCGTAAGCAACAATGTTGCCATGAAGACTGTATGTCAGTATATCCTAAGGCTTGTATGAATATATAGGTAAAAGGAAAACCCCCTATGGCTATGGTATTTCTCTGGTGATTTACCAACTAGGAAGTCAAATTTAGTACATCTTCATTTGTTCTTAATGATTTCAAATTTACATGTTCAATATATTGGCCTTTGGAAAGAAATAATTTGGCAGTGATTCAGAAGGTAGAGATTAAAAGAACAGTATAGAGTTGGTGAATTTCACTCTCAAGAGTAAAAGCAAAGTTAGAAGTCAGATGAGTTTTCTACTTAGTGTCTCAGCAAGAAACTCGGTAATTAGAGTTTGAATGTATGATTCTAAGGACCTTGCAAGATTTCAGTCTTAAATTCTTGTGTCCTTATACTGTTAGTCACAAAGGCCTACCTGGAGGAAGCCCTGTATGCATTTCTTCAGAGACAGGAACAAGGAAGCCAGGGAGACTGAGGGGGAAGACAAAAATAGGTTATGGCAGTCAGTACCAAAGAGAAAAGAAAATATGCAAAGTGCTGAGGCCTATGGCAAGGGATCAAAATGAACCAAAGGCCCTATTTTCTTTCCTTTGATAGAAATCTTTTTTTTTTCCTTTTCTTATTTCTTATAAACTAAATTTTAAAATACTCTGTTCTAGAACCTTGCCTGGGATTGAAAGGTGTCTAGCCCACTAGACTTAGTTTGTTCAGTTTTATCTGCCTGCCTTTTTTTGGAAATTAGAACTACACATACTTTTAGGGAGGATTTTGGCCCGTTACTTTATGGTAATATAGGTTAGCAATTATAATTCAGAAGGCTTATATGCAGAACATTCCAATAGCCGAGATTTGATTTATCCAGGAGATGAATTTATTAAAAGCACTTAAAATCTCACCTGTTTTGGAATTCAGTTTCTACTTTATTACTGAAATGCTAAACTAATGGGGATTCTTCTTGACCAGAGATATGAAAGCATTTATATGATAATATCAATCTGTTTTGTACTTTAATATAGCTAGTACAGGCTAATCTAATTTACTACAGTAATATATTAAAAAAGAAACACCATATGATCATCTCAATAGATGCAGAAAATGCATTTAACAAAAATCCAATATCTATTCCTAATAAAAAATTCTCAGCAAGCTAAAATAGTAGGGAACTTCTTCAAACTGATAAAAAAAATCTATGAAAAATCTACATATTTAATGGTGAAAAAACACTAAATACTTGTGCCTAAATCAGGAACAAGACAAACATAGCTACTTTCATGACTTCTATTCAACATTGTACTTGAAATTTTCTAGCTAAAGCAGTCAGGCAAGAAAAAGAAATAAAAGGCATCCAGAATAGAAAGTGAGAAGTAAAATTGTCTTTATTCATAGATAACATGACCATCTATGTAGAAAATCTGATGGAACCTACAAAAGAGCTATTAGAATTGATAAGCAGCAAAAATATAAAATACCTAGGGATGAGTCTGATTTTTAAAATGTGGAAGAGCTATAACTGGAAATTGCAAATCATTGCTACGAGAAATAAAAGAAGACCTAACTAATGGAGAAACATACCTTGTTAGTGATTTGGAAATCTCAATATCATTAAGATATCAGTTCTTCCTTAAATATATATAGATTCATTATAGTCCCAATCAAAATCCCAGTAAGCTTTTTAAAATAATAGAAGTTGACAAAATGATTATAAAATACCTTATTTACTTAGAACTGAAATCAGACAGATCATAGTCTTCACTGGATAGCATTTATGATTAAAGGCAACTGTTCTGCATTGTATAAGATGACTCGGAAGGTCAGGTCACCCCTCTCTCTCTTTGCTACTCCTGTCTTCTGTCCAGTACCTGTACTTTTTTGTTTTACATATTAAGCTTGTGTAAACTTTCCTTAAAAGAAAGGTTTAGTCTGCTTCCTTAAAAAGGTTTTTAAGACTATAGTTTTAAGTCTTGCTAAATATAGGGATTCCTCCCACATATTTAAAGAAAGGGGACATAATGAAATAGATGTTTCCACATATAAATCTGAAAATAACTACTGGAAGAAGAAACATACCTACCTCACTGACAGCAGTGAAGTGAACTATGATGTAATTACTGCTAATCAGAAAGTTAATGGCATAGATTCGACTAAAGAGTCATGAAAAATTATCAGAGTTAGAATTCAGCCAAATAATAAAGTTGAAGGGGGAAAACCTCCATTTCTCTTTCATAAAAAAGTCCCTGACTGGTTTAAAATGTATTTTTAAATATTCAAGTTAATATTAGATATAATTCATAAGCAAAAATAAATTTAATAACAAAATAATTTAGTTATAAGTATCAGCTAGGCTTTTTATATCTGTTACATACTGTAAAATGACCTCAGTGTAATATGGCTTTACTTTTTAAACTCTAATTTAGAGAAAATTTTGAAATAATGTATCAGGCATGAAAATAATTTCAAGTGTCATTTCATTTGCAGGTCTGCATTACATTTGCTGAATTTGGAAAAATGCAAAATATTTGTAACTTTCTTGTTGAAAAACTAGATAGCTCTGTTGTTATCAGTCAACCCCAGTTCTATCATACTCCAGGTTCTGTTGAAAATCTTCGGTAAGTTCAGCACATCTTTAAATTATCAATTAATTAAACAAAACTCTTCAGTGTTACAGTTCATTGAATGTCATATTAATAATCTCTGCATTTCATTTCTAAGACGGCAAGCCTGTCTTGTTGCTGTTGAGAATGCATGGCGCAAAGCTCAAGAAGTCTGTAACCTTGTTGGCCAAACTCTAGGAAAACCTTTATTAATCAAAGAAGAAGAAACGAAAGAATGGGAAGGCCAAATAGATGATCACCAGTCATCCAAACTCTCAAGTTCATTAACTGTACAACAAAAAATCAAAAGTGCAACAATATATGCTGCTTCAAAAGTATTTTTAACTTTTGAAGTAAAGGGAAAAGAGAAGAAAAAAAAAACATCTCTGAAATTCCAACCAATATATATTGTGTTTATATCTTTTTGTCTATTTTTATACTTTTTATAATGTTTGCTTTTGTCCTGAGTATATATACACAGGGTGTCCCAAAATGTACTATAAAGTGTTTTCTCCCCAAAATCTGTGAATCCTTAAATATAGTTCCACAGAATACTTATGTTTACTTTCTATTTTGAAAATCTTACTGTGGGAAATACTCTTTGGAAATAAATATGTGCACACTTATATATACTGAATTTATATTAGTGTATGTGTAAGTAACTTCTATATTTCTACTATGAGAAGAAATATTGACAGTTATTAGCATGATCATTAACATTAATAGAAAGAATGAAAAGCAAAACATAACTTTTGATAAAAGGATAAGGAAGTATATTATGAAAATATTTTGATACTAGAAATAAAAGGTAATATATGGACCAGACTCTCTTCATCAGAGCTTCTTTGATTATGCCAGCACTCTCCAATACAAATATAATGCAAGCCACATAAGTAATTTAAAATTCCCTAGTAGACACAGTTTTAAAAAATTTTAAAAACAGTTGGAACTAATTTTAATATTTTATTTAACAAAGTATATCCAAAATATTATCATTTTATTATGTAATCAATATATTAAAAATAATTAACAGGTATTTTATATTTACTTTTATACTAAGTCTTCAAAATTCAGTGAATATCTTATAGCACATTTCAATTCAGATTCTAAATTTTCACCAGAAATATATTATCTATTTTTAAGTTTCCTAAAGTTTAGTTTAAACAATACATTCACATACCCAAGTTGTTCCAAATATGCTTAAAAGATCTAGCAACTGGGTCAACTATCTGTTTTCAAATTAAAATTTTAAAAAACTTAAAATTCAATTCCTTGGTTTTACTAGCCACATTTCAAGTACTCTGAAGCCATTAGTGGCTAATGGTCACCATGTTGAACAGTGCAGGGTTATACACTGAGATACTACTTAGGCTATTTGAGATGTAACCATGTACATGACATTGCTATTGAATTACACATTATCTACATAGACTTTCCATTCCCCACCATTCAGCTCAGGTCCCAAAGTTTTTCTTTTGACATATCTTGATACCTATATGCCCATATTTCTTCCCTACAACAACATATTCCAGTACAGGCAGTCCAAGCCTGTGGTCGTGACGCTGTCACATCGTAATGACCAATCACCAGGAGGCTGCGTGCTCAGCAGGTGCGCACGGGTGGGCTGGGACTTGACACTGCATCCCCACGGGTGCCAGCAGGGACTTGACCAGGAGGTGCATCGGGGAAGTCCCGTGTGGTGCTGGCCCCATGGGGCGGGACTCCAGGACTCAGGGGAGCCTTGCGGGCACACGGGGGGGGGGGGGGGCTTGACGCAGGCGCCGGTGGGTCTGGGTCTCACGTGATTTCGAGACGCACACGGGTGGGCAGGGCTGCCTGCGGGGTGAGGCGCGTGCGTGCGAGTGGGCGGGGCTGCGTGTATCGAGTTGTGCGCGGGTGGGTGGGGACTTGACTCTGGGTCTCACGGTGCTGGTGGGGGCTTGACACTGTCCCCACAGGCGCTGGCCCAGACTGTTGACAGGAGGGAGTGGGGAGCCAGATACCCACACCCAGGACCCAGACAGAAGGGCAGTGGAAGCCCCATCCCTCACAGAATCAGCTGTATCAATGTTGTTTTTATATCACGTTTTTGTTGTTTTTATATCATATGTTTGTTCTTGTTATATCATGTTGTTTATTAATAAATTTATATATTACTTTTATATACATTTTTCTAATTTTCTCTAATCTCTGACACTTCTATTATAGAGAAAGAGCAAATAATGGTATTAAAATATTCTAATTCCCTTTCAATGTGCACGAATTCATGCACTGGGCCACTGGTTTATTTATAAAAAAAAAGTTCCATCATTTCGACGTATGTACATATGTGCTTTATGTTTTTTATTATTTATTTACCACAAGTAAAGGTCAGGAATTGTTACCTTTCTTCTAAATTTTTTTTATTGTTTCACTTCATTACTGCTGTGTATGTGCTCCATGTGAGTGACATAGGTGCTTATGTAGGTGGGTTCCGACTTACGGCGAAAATCACTTACGTCGTGCCGTAGGAACAGATCTCCAACGTAACCTGAGGACCTACTGTATATAGTTTCCATCCCCACCTTTCTTAAGTTACACTGGAAGTTTTATCCATCTCTTCTGTAATGTTCTTAGCAGGAAGGGAATATGAAAGCTAAGATGAAAAGTTTTAGAATCTGACACCAGTATGTTCAAATCCTGACTTTACTCCTAGAGTGAAAGCTCCCTTAGAATGGAGATCCTTTCTTTCTTGTTTATGGCTGCATTCTCAGACCTAACATAGTGTCAGGGCCAACCCAGAGTAAGTTCTCAAGTATTTGCTGAGCAAATTTACCGTGAAAGCTCCCTTAGAATGGAGATCCTGTCTTTCTTGTTTATGGCTGCATTCTCAGACCTAACAGTGTCAGGGCCAATCCAGAGTAAGTTCTCAAGTATTTGCTGAGCAAATTTACCAGTTTTGCAAACTTCGCAAGGCACTTGAATCTCTTTAAGCTTCTCTTTCCTCACTAATGAAATGAAACTAACAGTACGTACTACTATAAGATTAAAGCTGATAAAACATAAAACCATGAAAATAATGCAGCCACTCAGTACATGGTAGCCATTATCAACTGCATTCTCTGATTATTGTCAAAACTTGGCTTTTCTGCCCTGGCCAGTGTAGCTCTGGTTGAGCATCAACCCATGAACCAGGAGGTCATGGCACATGCCTGGGTTGCCAGCTAGATCCCCATAGGGGGTGTGAAGGAGGCAGTCGATCCATGATTCATCATTGATGTTTCTATCTCTCCCTCTCTGAAATGAATAAAAACATATTATTTTTTAATTTGACTTTTCTAAGTCTAACGTTAAGATGAATTTTTAGCCAGATTAAAAATAAGGTTATAAGAAAAACAGTTTAAGATATAATGAATTTGAATTTTTATTTCAAAGCAATGTTAAATTATATCTTAGCTTTTATTTATCTAGTTGGGTAGAAAAGTGCAATTGGAGCTGTACATAAAGGAAAAAAAATCTTTACACTCAAAAATTTAATCATATGGCTAGATTTTTCTTAGCCGTGGCTTCATTATATTCTTGGTTCTATCATATTTGTATGTTTCAAATTAGTATGAAAGAATACAAATTTGATTTTAAGTTTTCAAACACATTTTAGAATTTACAAAAATTTTTAAAGATGTTGCTTCAAAAAATAATTATGTAAAATGGACAGTCATACAATTCTATAGAGCAGCTAAGAAAATTCTTCAGTCTGGACTGGTTTACGTATGATACCCTGTGTATTAAGGATGTATCACATTTTGTGGACAGTTGATGGCAATTTAATTTCTGACACATGGCATATACTGGAATCTCACAATGAATTACTTAGTGGACCTGTGCCACAAAGCCTGCTAGAATAAACCTATCCTGAACTCAATCCTAACAAAATTCCTTTCTTCTGAACCTCCTTTTAAAAAATCTTTCCAATCCAGCCTGTGTGTTTGAGCATCAACCAATGAACCAGGAGGTCAGGGTTCGATTCCCAGTCAGGGCACAAGCCCGAGTTGTGGGCTCCATCCCCAGTAGGGGGCATGCAGTAGGCAGCCGATCAATGATTCTCTATCATTGTTGTTTCTATATCTCCCTCTCTGAAATCAATAAAAATATATATTTTTAAAAAATCTTCCCAAAAAGCAGTAAATTCTAATTGTTGTTTTCTTTAAAAAAAAAAAATTCTAATTAGGATATTTGAAACGAAACCACTATATTCTAAGCTCCTTTATAAAAGGAAATACTATTTAAATAAGGTTTCTAAATACTACTGATAAAATTTGGGATTTTTTTAACTGTAAAATTTATTTATTGATTGATTGATTAAGTTATTATATATGTGTCCTTATCCCCACATTATCCCCCATCTCCCCCCCATGCATGCCCTCACCCCCCTGTTGTCTGTGTCCATTGGTTAGGCCTATATGCTTGCATGTAAGTCCTTTGGTTGATATAAATTTAGGATTTTATTTAGTTACATGCTAAATTACTTTTTTTTTTTTTGGTAGTAGCAATATACCTTACTTTTATCAGTATTCTTATTTGACAGGTAATTTGAGTTCAATGTAAATAAGACCTGTAAAAATAATTTGTAACTTAAGATGCTGTACGTCATATCCTATAACTGTTATGTCCTCCCCAGGAATGTAGTCAAGGTTATTCCAATTCTGTCAGACTTGATGAGAATTTGATAGTAAGGAATTCTTCTGACTGGCTTAAAGAAATAAAAATGTGAATTATTAGGTCAAAGTGGGATTATGATACCTATATTATAAAATTATATGGAAGGAAAATGCTTTATTATTCATTCCAGAAAAAAACTGTATGTATTATAGTTGAACCTTGAACAACACGTTTTGAATCATGCAGACCCACTTATATGTGGATTTTTTTCAATAAATACCTCTACTGTTTTGTTCAGCAGTTTGGAATCCACAAATGTAGAGGGCCATGCCATCCTTTATAGGGGGCTTGAGCATCCTCAGAAATCCTGAAACCAATCCTCAGTGGATGCTAAGGGACAACAAAGTTTTTGGGGAGTCAAAAGTTATATGTGGATTTTCACTGTGTGGTGGGAGGTGGTTGGTATCCCTAACCCCCACATTCTTTAACAGTCAATTGTAGTTTAATTAAAATAACATGAATAGCCCTGGCTGGATGACTCAATTGGTTGGAGGATTGTCCAGTCCAGTACACCAAGAGATAGTGGGTTCAATTCCTGGTCAGGGCATACCTAAATAGCGGGTTTGATTCCCCAGTCAGAGCACATACAGGAGGCAACCTATCGGTGTTCTCTCTCACAGCAATGTTTCTGTCTCCCTTCCTCTCTCTCTAAAAATCAATAAAAATAAACAATAACAAATATTTATCAGTTTTTTATGCAAATAGCTTCTACTCATAATCTAATGTGGCCTAAATTACTTTAACATGTTCAGTAATGTTAAAAGACTAGAATTCACAGTGGGTAATCCAAGTCAAACACTACTCTCAGGATGAGGTAATAATTTCCAACGGGAATTATTTGTACTATTTTTATTAAAAAAAATAATACCCCTTTATCGCCTGGTTATCGGAGGATAGTTCTGTTTCAGCCATTCTTCTGGAGCTCTGG